AAATTAATTTTAGTCTGCCTTGTCCTTTTTGATACCTCCAATCATGTTGTCACACCTATTGACCGGTGCATTTGGAGGTCAACATTGGACATTACGAAACCATGTCATGCAACCTTCTCTCAGTTTTCCCTCAAATCATGCTAGTTTCACCTTCTGGCACATGTGATCATTTCAAATCTTATCTAATCTTGTATAATAGCACATCTATCTTAACATTTGCATGTTTATAATTATAATACTCATCTCACTGATTTGGTGGTTCTAAGAGGCCAATATTCACTATCATATGACATTGTTGGACTCACAGCATTGGTGATAACTTTTGTGACATCTTTAATAGTGCAGTCATGTTTCTAATAAACCATACTTGATGTAATGTATCATACAATTCATTTTGTTAGTAGTCACAACACTATGAACACTCAGTATCAACCTCGACCTCCTGCTGTACATAAAATAACTAATAGGAAGGACCAAAGTACGAGCGTTTACTACAATCTGTAGGTTGTCACCAAATTCTCAACTTTGTGCACATGCAGAACAGATATATTTACAATCCCTAACTTCAACTAAAAGATCAATTTTGAACTCTAATTTTTTAATATGCTGATAGCTGACACACACTGAAAAATACATATAGATTACAATGCTTGAACTTCAGCACAGGTTTAAGGTTTAGCATCACATACCATTCCTAGAAGGTTGCCCACTATAATGGAACCAATGGGATCATAAATGGGATTTCCAGTGGCATTTACAGCAACCAGTGATGCAGCAGCAATGGCTAGGCCTGTAACTGCAGCACCATCCTACAAATTGAACATACATTACAGATCACTGACAAAGAGATCATGAGTAGGAGCTCAAGAAAACATGTTGGTCACCTCAGTCATGACAGCCACAGCTGTAGGATCATGGCCACGCCAAATATAATCTCTCACTGTCATTCCTTCTGCAGCAGCTCCTTTTTGGACAGCTTGTATAGCTACAATGAGAGAAATACCTAAAAGAAGTCCAGGGTCAGGAACGAAATGTAAAGGGAAATAAGGGGTAAAAATCATAACAGGAATGAAATTTTAGCTACTTGTATTTATTAAAGAAAAATTTGTACCCTCTATAATGAATGAGCCACCAATCACAAGTGCTGCATATCCAATATTTGCAGGTTGCTGAAACATATACATACAAAGAAATACAGTTCTGGTTGATGTGAAAGCACAGTATTCAACATCAGATGACNTTCTGGTTGATGTGAAAGCACAGTATTCAACAACAGATGATGGATCACTGTATTTCAATTAAAGTACCTCAGAAGTCCACAAGTTTTGAACTCCATGAACTATTGTAGCACCACAACCAAGACAAAATATACCAACAGCAGATATTAAAGACCAGACAAATCTTTCCTTGGAGTAGCCGTATCTGCAGAGATAAAAATAAGAATTCAAAAAATTCATAAGCCTCTAAAGCTCCAAAACACATGTCACAAGAAAAAGAGCAACTATTCCACTCTAGCGGTGGTCTAAGATCTTTCATTCATCATGCGTTTGATATAGTGTTGTTAAGCCCTGCTCAGGCATGTATATGTGAAAACCAAATATCTTGTATGATACAGTTGCACATTCACCAAATAAATGGTACATATGTTCATTTTGCAATGCAAGCAAATACTACTATATCTAGAAACTTGAAGTGTGCTAAATACAAGAGAAATTTAAATTTAAAAAAAAAAGGAACGGTGCCTGCAATGTCAAGGTATTGAGACTTACGGGTGGATAGCATCTGGTGCACGTCTGGAGCTATTTAAACCATATGCAAGAAGTGCCTACAAAGTGAGCAATCAACATTGTTTTGACTGATGAAGTTTTAGAGATGGAACTTCGCACATACCAGGCCATGTTAGTTTAAAAAATGCGCAATACCTGATTTGCAAAATCCGCAACTGAATGTACAACTTCAGCCAACATGACATGGCTGGAACTGACAAACCAGACCCCAAACTTCAGGGAAAAGACAAGAAAATTGCACCATAAAGCTGTTGTGACTGCTCGCTGGCTATGGCAGCAGAAAAAGAAGAAATTTAGGTGACATAGTATAGAGATTCATGGTTTTAGCTAATGGAATTATTTTCCTGTTTTTGATCGATGGTAGGTTGTCACGATTGTAAAAGAGAAGGTTTTGATGTATGCATTTTAATCCAGAGAAACAACAAAATAACTTTGAGACTGAAGTAATTTTCCACTACGCAATAAGAAACACCGACCAAATGGAGTCCAAATTAAGCAGAATGGAGACATCCACTTAATGTTATTGAATGCCATCTGATTGATTCTGGAATTATCACTTACTCCCACCTTCAAGGTTAACTTCAAATTTTCTGGAATGCCATCTGATTGGTGGCAGTTTAACTTCAAAGCTTCAAAGCCTCTAGGATCTCAAATTACAGAAATGTTTTTTACCGGATGTAAGCAAAAGGATCGTCATTATTGGTCGGACACATGAGAGACTAACAAAAGGATCAGAAAATAACTCACCAAACATATATGAGGGATTAGTTATGCACCTAACAGCACAATAAGGTTAAATTTACAGATTCTAGAAACCAGTAAGGCCATTTATGCAATTGTTGTGCCTTAAAAGAAAATAGAAGAGCATCATATATGAGGAGAACAACACACGTTACCCATGATCATCCACCTCAATCGTCCTTATCTTCTTAGCTCTGGTAATCAAACCTGCAAAAGAGCAATTCTGTTAAACATAATGCTAACACTACACATAATGAACAGCTCTATTTAAGTATAGGGACTAATATTTTGCTTACCCCGGCTGAAGAACAGGTGACTATTACTTCTGGAAATTGAAGACAATAAGACTACATTTCGCGACGAATTAACCGACAATATACTGCGCAATGCGAATGAAGACGATGACGGACTTCCTCCACTGAGCTGGGAGCTCGGATTGCAATGAAATTTTTCATAAGCATCGAAATGAGGTTCAGTTTCTTCCTCTTCCACTTTGGATGGGCAAGACTGAAAAGAATCAAAATCAAATTTCTTTTGTAAAGTTGAGAGCGCTACAGATAGAGAACCGGAATGGGAGCCTTGATAGATATGGCGAAAGCGGCGAAAAGCAGAGAGAACACGAGGGTTAGGCATCAATGCGTGAAAAAGAAGACTGATGTAATCTAAAAATAGTTGGCAATTCCCCTAAAGGTTTGGAGTTTAGGGTTTTACAATGGAGGAGCTCTATTCAAGCTCATTGCTTACAGAAATGGAGTCGGATAGAGAGAGAAATGGAAATGGAGAGGGTGCTGAGAATCGGAAAATCCTCTCGAGCAAGAAATTCTCCATAGGCAAAAGGAGCATATTCCCCAAATGCGTCGTCCCCTTCGAAATTCTGTGACAATTATGTTGGGCCTGTTGGCCTGCTGTATGTTGGGCCTTTTGGCCCGCTATATGTTGGGCCTATTGGCCCGCTATACACCCTTCAACATCTGTTATGTTTGCCTTTGATTAGAAAACACAATTTGGTATTACTCCATTAGTCCATTTTAACCTTTTTAAATAAATTAATGAGGTTTCAATTCATGTGAATCTATTTTCTTTTTAGTTCGTGCAAAAAAAATTAATTTCTATATTTAGAAATAATTTACTTTTATGTAATAATTTATAGTCATAAAAAATATATATGCCTTATTTATATCACAAGTTCAAAAGTCTTCTCTCTTTTTTAAAATCTGTATTCAATTAAATAGGTTCACATAAATTGAAAATAGTATAAGAGTTTTGATTTAAATTCAAAAGAATTGGTTCATTTTTTCCTACGGAAAAAAATATCACTATTTGCTTGTCTTTTTCAAAAAGAAATACTAATGCTTCTGGATCCTTAAGTAAAAAGTTTATCGAAAACAAGATAAACCTTCACAAAATAGGGATAAGATTTGCATATATATTATTCTCTCCAGACCCTACTTGTAAAATTACACTGAATTTATTGTTATTGTTGTATTAATACTTCTAGTACTTATCGAAAACAAGATAAACCTCAGGGATGTTATTTAAAGATTAGCTAATACTTATTTTTGTTCTGAAATTTTAAACAAAAAATCTTAACTTCACGATAATGTATCGGCTAATTTTTAAATAACAAATGTATCGGCAATTTTTAAATAACAACTCTTTAAAGTGACTACCTGGTGCCATTTCTACAAAGGAACATACATTTTCGTAATGTAACAAATTTAACGTAGAATGGTTATGTGAAGACGGAGTAACGTAAAATAGTATGTGAATGCGACTTAACAAGCTCCAGGAGAGAATTACACAAACATCCATTCTTAAGGTTTTTATTTAAATATTAGTCAATACTTATTTTGTCTTAAACTAAAAATCTTAATTTGAGGACAATTCAGAATATTTATGTCCCGAAAAATTAAACTGGACAACTAAAATTCAGGACACATTTGCTAACTCCTAAATAACAGCCCTTTAGAGCAGCTAACTGATATCATTTTTGCTATCATCGATTCTGAGATACATTAAACCAACCCAATATTACCCAGACAGGCTCACAGCACTAACCTCAAAAGTTAGGGAGAAATTCAAAAATAGTCAGATTTACAAGTGGTCATTAAAAAATAGTCACAGTTTCAAAAGTAATCAAAATTTAGCCACTTTTTATGTAAAGATAAATCTGAACGAAAACACTATTCAAAATCCAGAAAAATACTCCAGCATAATATACTGGAGTTCCAGTATAATATACCGGTCCAGCATAATATGCTGGAAGTTCATACACAGGTGCACCACACTCCAGTATATTATGTTGGACCGGTTTCTGTAGCAGCAAAATAGTAGTTATTTTTCAATGACTTGGCAAACGCTGGCTATTTTTGAATAACCAATCTAAAAACTGGGTAGACCGTGCTATTTTTAACCAAAAGTTACTCAAGAGATATATTTGATCATCAACCATAGCGCAACTGTGCAAAAAAGTTGTCAACAGTCCTTGAAATTAGAATTTACCTGTTGTATTTGAAAAACGAAAATAAAAAGGTATGATATACAAAAACTCGTCCAGCCCCAAATATGTAGAGCTACCCGCAACCAAATGCCCTTATGACCTGTACTAGAATACAGTCGCTAGTATTAAGGGAACATAGAAAAAGGAAACTAAATAACTATGCTACATACTCATAACTTCTCCTATACTGAGCATTTTATCAATGTTGGGGGGGAAAATCCCGTCAATCTGGTTGAAGAAGTGCCAAGCAAAACTGCACTTGAATTCCAACTCTCAAATTGGCCTTCTCAATCAACAACTAAACTAATGATGACCTGTGAATCTACTTATTACCAAATCGGCCTTCTCTCCTGGTCCGTGGCCGCCTATATGATTTGGTTTGTCCAACTGACCTTCCAGAACTCACTGCTCGATCATTCCGGCTAACAATTTTTATGGGGTGGGCCTCTGTGTTGAAGACCCACTCATCTAGTGGAATGAGTGAAGAGGGTGAGAAAAGAAGGTAGAGATATTTAAGAGTCTCCGCAAGGAAAAAGCTTTGCATCATATCGTCTTGCACACCGGTATTAACCTGGGACAAACACCAACAAGTTAAAAATAGATGTCCAAAACATCTCGAGAATCGGGTTATACTCCGAGAATACACTTGTCTTTCATCGGTTATGTAAGGGGTCGTTTGGTTCAAGGGATTAGGTGGGTTATCCCGGTATAAATTTTGGGATTAAACTTATCCCGTTTTGGTTGGAGTTATTAGCTAAACCTGATATTCTTGTTATACCAAAATCTTGGAATAACTTATCCCTTATCCCATATAGAAGGTGGGATAAGTTATCCAGGTTATAGTCCCTGTTCTAATCCCAAGATTATGGGATATTTTGAACCAAACAGCCCCTAAGGGTAATGTCCTGGATCACTCCACCCATTGCCTTTTAAGTTTTGGGTTGGATGCTCAGATTCTTTCACATGAATTAATCTTTAACAAAATCACCAACTAGAGTTAGGAGTCTGAGTTTGTACTTACATCTTTAAGTCCAACATATCCAGACTCTATTCTCGAGTTCTTTTCAAATGCTTGAAATATGTTCCAACCCCACTCTTGGTATGTCTTGTTTCCAGTTAAACGCCAGAGGTAAAATAGAGACTCAACCGTTTCTGGCCTTAGTATGTTCCACGATGTGCCCACAGTCATATCCTGAAAAACAATCACAAATACTTTATCAGCATAAGCAAACAACAATAACAAATATGTACCAATAAAATAATTGGTAAAATCAACCTGCCCGTCATCATTAAAGAAATAGTTTTCTCCTGCCAATTTTGTAGGTGTTGACTGGTAGAAGTTATAGCAAGTCCAAGCAAGCTGCAAGAAGGGGTCAACATATCCAGTAAAATAGCAATACTCAAGTTTCCTGTTCTAACGAGCAATAATGGAAGTAGTCAATATGCAATAGATTAAGCCCACTGATCCTATGTGCCTTCTTTCCCTTTTATCTGAAAGAGAAAGTTAGAAGGTTGAATGATAAAATCTGCACTGTAGCCCACATTCAAGACCTACATGTTATTTCATAGGTTGTTTCATGCTTCACCCTGTATAACCCCACCAAATAAATTAAAGTAAACCAAGTAATCATCTGGAGTAGGCCGAACAATGTCCAATGTAACCTAAACAACCTCATACTCAAAGTTGATGCAAAACTTCTCCATCAGAGATCGATGGTCAAATAAGAACTTAAGTCAAAACATAGTTTAATGCTGTACAAGTTCAAATTTACCTCTTCTGCCAGTGATAAGAACTTCTGAGACTCGTCAGGACCATAACCAGACGACCCTAAAGCTAACATTCCTGGAGCGAAGCATGCAAGTTCATCCATCTATATAGAATTCAGAAAAGGGTAGATTAAACATGATATAAGAATAACACACATCATCACAACTCCCAGCTACCAATTTGAACCCTATACATCACCTTGTCATTTAAAGAACTTCCGATCTTCTCACCAATATAAGCAAAAGATGATGGGGTAGTCCTCCGCACCAAGCTTAAAAGACCTTTCATTGATGTCTCCCACATTTTTCTGTTTGGAAAATTAAATGGAAGAACTCTATGTAATACACTTGAGATTGCAATTTGCAAAAGAACGTCATACTCATTTAGAAGTCTCAGGAAAGAAATATGCATTGACATACTTTGACTTGGTCCACATTTCTGATCCTTTTGGTTCTAACTAAGCAATTATAACACAGAGTTTTCAGACAATAACCAATTTCGTCTTCCTGCACTTCAGAGCAGTAAAGGATAAGGAGCTCGCTTTGCACTTCTCAAAGGAAAGACGCTGCCCATAAACCCCCAGTTCTTTGGTCTTCAAATTAGTTTCTGCAGAACTGAGCTTACAGCTGCTAATCAAGATAATCCATAAGGACATCCTGCACTAAATTTTGATCGTTTTGACTAATCTAGTTTAACTAGCAAGAAAGTTAGAAAACAAAGTATTTGAAACTTAGGATTGGCGTATCTGAATTTTTGGAAACATGCTAAAGTGATGCTTGGAAGATGTAACAAGAGTGCAAGAACGCGACACAGAAAGAGTACTCTAGTTACATGTTAATCAAGATTTTAAGTTTTGCCCTTCTAGGAAAAAGTGATGGAGTATATAACAATGTCATCATTAAGGCTCCCGATGCAGCTCAGGTTTGATATTATGTATTATTTATCAGAATGATATAAAGATAGCAGGAAATTTCTTTTTTTTAAAAAAGTAGCAGTAAATTTAATCTCTCTTACTTCGATATTTATATGTATATCGAACGATACTATAATAGCAACAGCTCTAATAATCCAGGCCTACTTTTATGTATTTAGATTAAATCAACTCCTCAGCAAGTTGTCATTTTTTTCTCCTTAATGGTCCTTTTTCCTTTCATGTTCGGTCAAAATTCACGTGTTTCCTCTGATTGGGTTTCTTGGTAGTGCTCTACACATGTAAACATTTAACAGTATTTCTATGTGTTAGGCCGTGATGCATGACAAAGACTTGAATTCAGGCCCGACAAAGTATTCTAGCATTAGTTTACACACTTTACAGTTACGGATCCATCAGAACTGCAACTCATCATGTCAAAACAGGAAACCACTTGAAGTTTTGAATAGGAAAACTGTAAAGTAAAAAAATAAAGAAACTTTAAACTTAAGCTTCTTACCTGTAGTGTCCCACAGCAGCTGTTTTGTTTCCTTGTATCCAGGCCTTGAGTAAATATTCATAAAAGCTGAAACGACATAGTTTTACTATCTAAATGTACAAAAGAAACAAAGGAAAACCAAATGCCAGTGAACAGACGGATATGGTGATACCAGTCCTCTTTAGGTTCACATTATCAGATCTGTCATATGGAGAAAGATAAATGAAAGCTACCTGTCCCCCATGGCCCCAAACGTTATAGTGGAGTATGACGTTGTCCCTCTCTCGGGATTAATGTGTATTGGAAGCAAACCATCATCTGGAAAAGTTCTATTAAGTTCTAAGATAACATTCTCCACCTGAAATAGGAACATATGCCATTCAGTCACTAGCAGAACATCGTTTCAAGTATGTGTAGCTTAATCAATTGTCTACCATGCCAATTTTGGAATTGTAGTTTTATTTACTAGTAGTTATCAAGAAGTTATACTTTTAGATAAATTCTATTGGCACATACCTTCTGTTGATACTTTGAGTCTCCTGTCCGTTGCGAAAGAGCAATAAATTCAAGCTGCTCAGAGGCAGAATCTGCCAGGATACTATTACCCTGAGAGAAGGGAGCACAATAATTTCACCAAATGTACACTAGACTACAGCGATGTAATTACATATATGTGTTTGTGCATAGAAATTTAAGCATCATATATCACATGCCATGAGACTGAAATATTCAGATTTCAAAAGATAAGTCATTGGTGTGCAAAAAAAGACTCTGTCCAAGCGTTTAAGAGGAAAAGAACAAGTAAAAAACCATATATCGCAGTGACTGCACAAGCCCTGCAGCTTCCTAATATGCCCCAAAGAAAAGAAATAAAAAGCAATTAAAAAGAAGAGAGTTGGATTCCCACTGGTGAAAATTTCAGCAAAAGGACATCATCACAAGATGGCTGGGTGCACAAACAAGTTGAGAGTATGTGGGACAGTTTCCTAGAGAACTGCAATTGCTAAGTTGCAACAGACATGTTTCTCCCAGCAAGCTGAAGTCAGTTGGGAGAACGCCTGGAGGAGATGCAAGAAAGAGAGAAAACAAGGATTGGATCATAAGATCATTTAAGTATATTATGAGAAAATTAGAGCATTTAATAACGTATGATTCTTCATTCACACAGTTCCCCTTTTAGATACTCTTCTCCTATTGATGCAGGGTAAAGCATCAAATGACTCGTCAAATAAAATTTAGGATAATTCCCTATATCCTTTTCAGCATGAGATACATGAGTTATACTACAGCGGAAATCAACTTGAATTTGGTATAGTTCAAAATTACCCCTGTCCACCCAAGATTATGTGGATTCCCATGTGACAAGTTGATAATGTTGTAAGGGATGCCAGATGGTGTATTCCATGCAGGCAACAGTCTGTCAGCAATATCTTTAGCCTTATCAAGGAAAAGCTTATCACCAGAGAGATCATATGCACTAAGAAGTCCACCTACAACTCTGTTGTTGAATTACATAAAGAAACATTGAAACAAAAAACATAGAAACAAATCGTCAAAGCTGATAAAAGGTATCAGGAATCCAAGTAAACTCATTACAAAAGCATATTAAACCTTATAAAGAAACCTTATGGTTGTCTCAAAAACACTGGCATCATAATTCTTGTTGAAATCCAAGGAGCTTGCAACCCACCTGCCATCAACAACTTGTTAGCCACAAGCAATGAACGCTTAACTGAAGCACAAAAATATATAAAGTTACAAATGCCTATCACCTGGCAACATTGTTTCAGAGAGAGTAGAAAGTACACCTAATACATAACCCTAAAACCCAGAAGTAAAAGGGATATAATGAAATTGACACTTCAATTATTTTGGAAAGTCAAGATGCCAGACATCAAATCCACAATCCAAGGAAACACAGAACTCTAAGCAGTCTCTCACTGGGTGAGGACTTTGGGGACTCTGGCTGTTGAGGAGGCGGCAGTTAGGAGAACTGCAGACATTAATCAGAGAGATGACAATAAGTATAAAATGTTTTACTAACCCCAGATGCATTTTAACATTATCGCATGCACCAATTACTTGATTCTGGTGATTCCCGGTCATATTAAAAAAAAAAAAAAGTAACAATTCATTTTCTTCTTTACAACAAAACTAGGACCATAAGTAATATTGTCAAAGACAACCATGGTTACTGTGTGCAGGGAAGAGATCACCGTCAAATAAAATAAAGTAGAAGATAATGTATCCACATATACAAAGCTGGTTTTCACATAAAAAAGCTCTCAATCTAGAAAGAAAGGGAAAAGGTACAATCAAGAGCAATCACAAAATTTTAAGTTATAATACAACTAATTCCTGAATTAGAATAAGAAAGATAATTCGGGGCTTTCAGGGGCAAGAGAATAATGAACTCACTCTCTAGCTCTCTGAAACTGCTCATCCAGGCCCATGATATATAGTGTGTCAAGAGAATCTATTAATGTTGCCCCAAGACCACCAAAACTGTCAACACCCTTCTTTGTTTGTGGCTGGCATTGCAAAGGTTTATCATGACAATCAAATCAATACAGGCACATGACCAATAAAGGATATAGTATAAAGTTCCACAAGCACATAGCAGAAACAGTTCGAAAAGTATCAAGGAAAATTTATCCTCTTAGATTCAGTACTGAACAACGAACAAAAAGGGATCTCTCTTACAATTTTACATTTCCTTTCTGACTGTCATTAAATTATAGTCACCACAAAAAAAAGTCATTGAGAACTAATACCAATTCCATATAGATTCTGTCTAGGAATATTTTGCTAACACGTATAAGCTTCTGGGTGAATATGATCTTACATCACATGTTCGGTCAAAGAAAGAAAAAGGAATAGGGAAGTAGAGAGTCGAATAGATCATATATGAAGCTAGCAATTCCATCAAGAATAAGATTTTTGTTCACCATGAAGCTATTATACTCGGAAGCAGAGCCCAAATACCATAAACATAAACAAACTTCCACAAGTTTTTACCTCGCAGACAGACTTTTTAAGAAGAACAAGAAATATCATGTGCAACAAAATACTTATTACAGTTTACTTTCTCCGTAACTGATTGTTTAATCTTGTAGAAAATGTAGATTCTGTAGTTGACATCTTGCGATTTTTGTAACTAGCACAAGACTATCTTTTTGTTTCTTTTTCTTTTGAGGTCCTGTAACTTTGTTTGTGCCAAGGACTACTTTAATTGTTAATAAAATACCTGTTACCATGCTCAATTAAAAAATTTCCCCATAGAAGTTATTGCAAATGCAGAAGACTGAAGTTTTCACTTTTGATTGCACTAATGCTCCTCTCTCAAAGCTTTAACATAGAAAGAGCTTAAAAGATGATAGCGTTATCTTCATTACCAGGATACTCAAAATTCTTGATAAACTTTTTGAGAATCCAATTGTATGAATAATCTTCCCACATCTCGACAACTCCTAGTGTTCTAAACCGTACTTCGACATGAAAGGATTCTTGGGATGAGAAATAATAATATGTAACTTCTTTATGTTTACTTAAAGAGTGGACATAAGGGTAAATGAGATGCTACAAAGTAAAAAGCTATGATTTTTCCATTAGATCAATAGCAAAAGGACAAAATTAAATTAAAAGGTAAAAGAAAAAGCAAAGGTTTCTAGCTAGAGTGTTAGTCACTTTGGAATGGCCATAATTTCACCAATAGTGTCAAGTGAGAGTATTTGAAACAAATATAAAAAGTGGGAGCATTAATTAATTGAGACTTCACCCTTTCACATATTTAAATTTTGAGGTAACTCCTTTTTATCTGAGAAACCCTTGAGTACAAGATTTTTTTTTTTAATCAGTAATCTTGAGTACAAGATATTATTTTGTACAAAGGAAAGAACTAACTACATAAGATCGATACCTATGTAGGTATAACTTATTCTTCAACTTGTAGCCAAATAAACCTAAAACAGACTCCACCAAGGATGAAATTACATTTCAGAATGTAAATTATTCTACGACTGGGATGAAGCTCTTGATCCAACATTTTCCCAACAAATATTAGGGATGATGAAAATATGAAGACTCGCATTTAAATGATCAGCTTAAGGGTAAGGCATACAAAGTGATCACAATCACTCCAAGTAGAGAAAGAAAATATAAGAAATTAATCAACAGGGTAAAGCATTTAACGGCCAACTGAAATGCCTCCACCAAAGATTTGACTGCTAAGTGACTAAACATAATGGCACAAAGGCAATATTTCTACAAAGAAGACTTATTAGTAGCAACAACCAGACCTGAAGTTCATCATGGCCCCATGCATATTTTTCATATGAACTCCAGGCATGAAGCATAGCATCTTTCACTTTTTCTCTTCGTTGAGCATCAATGGGGTCATCAGCGAAATCCTTTTTCTTCACCACATCACCACCACTGCGACTAAAATTCATCTTTTCACCTGATATACCTCGACCATCCTTCAACTCTTCCAGCTACAGTAAACAAGACCATAAATGGAAACAAAAGCCAGCAATTAAATCATGATGAAGAAAACAGAACGAAATATTTAAAACACCAAGAATTTTGAAAGCGACTACAATAAACAATAGAAAACTAGATGGACTTTGCCCAAGCAAGTGATGTTCGTTATATGTTCTTTTACAAAAAAGACCTAGCAAGCCCTAACAATAAGATCAGTTGCAGCATAAACCTGCCAGAGCACAGATGGGCCCATCTATTCCTTCCACCGCCATTGTTGCCAAACCTATTGCCCGCACCACCACTATCTTCACCATTGCTGTCCTCAAATACCTCTCCCCCATAGGCATAAAGTATTTTTACTACAACATAAATGATGCTTGAACCGAATTGCAAGAATTATAACTTCATCAGGTTTTCAATTATACACAGTGAAACAATCTTTTTCATTCAGTTGGAAGGAGGAAAGGGCTACTTACCAGCAAAATTATAAGAAGCTCTAGTATAAAGATTTTCCCCACAAGCCAAAATTTACAGAAGAGGTGAAAATTAAACATAACAGTTCAGATTTTGAAAAGAAAAGCAGAAACTGCTTACCAGATTTTGCAACCGTATCACTTCTTCATGCAACTTAGAGATCTCTTCCTGCAAAATCACAAGTTCATTGACAAATTGCAAGACAAACTGAATTTAAAACTTCAAAAATATCCAAATAACAAATGCATCTAAGAACCACTAGCTTGCTTATGAAGAATACATATAAATAAACTTCTACATCAGAAGAAGATTCCATGAAACAGAAGAAGAAAATTCTATATAAACTGAAAGGCAATAAGCATCAAAAATCACTAGAACTTTGGTACTACTAGCTAGAAAACCAAATGTCCCAGGGTGCTTGCAACCATAAATAGAAAGCACTAGGGTATTAGGATTGGACAAGGGCCGTACTAGGTTTTGTGACCCCTAGGAAGTCTTCTTGTTGCATCTCTATTTTCAACGTGGGTCTAGTATAGTAGAATTCCAAGTTCTGGCCGTAAAGACCTGGGCACGAATCCCAGCAGCCACACTTCTTCAGAAGTTCTGAATTAGTTTGGGACTAAGGTGTAGTTGTTTTTGTTGCTCCTTGCTAAACAATTTATCTTTATCAAGGGTGATATTACCACCGTAAACCAACTTAAGTTTCAATTATCAATAAGAACCTCAAAGATATTGTCCTGCAGCAACTAGAAGATCTCTGAAATGAATGCCTATATATCTCTCAGTCTATGTAATCAAAAATCAAATATCGCTGAGAACTCTTCAATCCCCATACTCAGTGTTGCTGTTGATAGTTAACTCTTTGATAGGAGAAGAGACTTGCTAATACATTTTGTAAGTTCTACTTGGATTCATTGTATGAATGACCTACGACAAAAACACAAGAGATAAATCTAGTAAAAAGCTGATTACCTTGAATTTTCCAAAGTATAGTCTATCAAATTTATTGAGGACTCTACTAACCGGTAAAGTTGTTGTCATGTGACCAGGAGGTCACGGGTTCGAGCCATGGAAACAGCCTCTTGCATAAATGCAGGCTGCGTACGATAGACCCTACTGGTCCGGCCCTTCCCCGACCCCGCGCATAGCGGGAGCTTAGTGCGCCGGACTGCCCTTTTTTCTACTAATACAGATACAAAATACAAGCCTGCTACGTCCAATGGGGCTCTCAATTCTACAATTGGAACACATAGATTCTCCAGGAAAACATAGACAGTGTTATTGTTGTAACAAAGCAACAAACTTGCTCATAATTAAAAAGAAAACGATCGATGGCAGAACCAATTACCCAAATTACGGGAGTTAAGAGTGATTAGTTCCAATAAAAGGGAATTGACAATGAAGTAGGGAAAAACAAAAGTACCTGGTGATCTCGGACTAAAGTTTGTCGATCCCAAAAGAAGAAAGTACCAAATACAAAAACAATGAAAAGCAATGCGAGACGCATAGGCCGTTTCAAATAGTAAGATGGATTGATGTACCTCCACCTATTGCCGGACGATCTACTCCTCCCCATTTTACTTCTCTTTATTTCAATACTATACAAAGAAAGGAGAGGGGCGAAGAGGAACCTTTGTTAACCTCTATATCGTTTTTGTTTATCAGCGAGATCAAGTGAAAGATCGATCAAGATCAGGACTGGTTCGTTAAACAAAGGGGAAAGACTCCATTAGTCCATTAGGAAATAAGTATATTTTACTTATATTTAAAACAAGAAACAGTACAGACCAATAGCCGTTAGGGCGTAGGTTGGAGCTACAGTGTACTTCGTTGGGAACGAGAACACCCTGCTAAAATAGTTGGGACTTAATTTTTCCTTTAGCTTCTTTAGTTGGTGCTAAATTGACGTAGAGCCAGACACGCCGTTTGCCAACTTAAGAATGCCAAAGCCTGTATAGGTCAAAATCTGACCACATGTCGGTTATCGTTAAAAGGAATAGTAAAGGATCCACCAAGCTATAGTTGTACCTACGAGGTATAATAATGATGAGTATCTCGGCCACTATCGAGATCGAGCCATCAGAAGGCTTATACGGTAGAAAGTATGTCGTAATACTTAGGCGAGTAAGGAAAAATATAGCCAAGAGAAGGTATGCTGGTTAAAGACCGTTGGATAAAAGGAAAGATTGGTAATATATATATATATATGAGAGAAAAAGGCAAGAAAAGGGGGTTCCTAAAAAAGAGAGAAAAAGGAACAGAAGAACGGGAGGAGACCTCCAACAACAAAGTAAAAGCCTAAAACTTTGTAATCGTCATTGTTGAATCAATAAAGATAGATCTCACAGTTATCAACGACATTTCTTACTTTCCCTCTTTGCTCTTACAAGTACGGAACAATGTATCAAAGATGTAAGCTTATTATTTACGTTTGATGTCTTTTAATCATCCTAAGAAATGTTATATAAGCTCGGCCTCATTCGATTCTTGCATTCAATATGCTTAGATCTAAAGTTAATTATTTTTGGTTAAGATTTATCTTCCATTTTCTTTATTAATTAGTTTAACGAAAAGCTTAGCGCTTTTTGGTCAAACAGTTTGGCGCCGTCTGTGGGGATTTCTTAGCCAAATTTTTTAGTTTCTTTTAGATCTAGAACCAGCCAAGTATCACTTCCAGGCTGTCATAGCCTCACCATCTCGGTATTAACAACAACTCGAAAGAATGGTAGATAAGCTTTTGAGATAACTGTACCAATCTAGGTTAGATATCTACATAAAATAGAAATTATGACCGATGTCTATGCAAAACCCATGCCTCACCTGTAGCGATGGGTTTGGCACGTCATATGCATGTTTAAAGTAGAATCACAGTCACTATGCGCTTGGCATGACTGCAATCCTATTTGACATATTCACCTTATATACCGGCCCGTACTCCCACCTCTTAGGATGGGATGATAGCCTACTGTGTGATCCTTTGAAATAGCGAGCATATCCTGCCTTATTTTCGTACCCACACGCACTGGATAATTTATGAACAAAGTATGACATGTTTCCCTTATTGGTTGTACGTATCAGACGGGGTCGGATTGGGACTCGGTTTCGATATCCCAACGGGCAAGGTAAGTCCCACCCACGAGAAGCCTAGACGCAATTAACAACGAAGCCGAACACGGCCACCAAATCTGAAATCATCATTCGAGTACGAGGCGAAGCGAGCGAGCCTACAGCGTCGTTCCTCCTTTCACCGACTTACCAGGCCAAGGTAACAGACAATTTCGTTTGGGTTTCACTTATCACGATCTCTTGTTGGTTCAGAACGGGAACACGAGCACTCTCACAGGTATGCGAACATGGAATGGGCGCCACCAAGACACCCCAGGAAAAGGTTTCATACCATGTCATCTCGCAAGCAATGACCGAGCAAAGCCCTCTAAGTCGTACCGTATTACAAATAACAGAAATGGTTCAGCACAGGTCGACTATTAAGAAATCTCCAGAACAAGGGACTCACCCATGAAATGCATAGTAGTCTCCAATTAAAGCAAAGTTAAGCGAACTAGGACTCGCCCATGAAACACACAGTATTCTCCAGTGAAAGCAAAACCAAGCACACCAGGACTCACCCTAACGCACGCATAAATAGTACGGCGATGTGTAATGTTCTCCAATAAAAATAATACAATGGGTTATAATTCGACCTCGCTCAAATTAACACCTTTACGGCCACCGGCCATCGCCAAATGAGTTACAATTCGACCTCACTGGAATTAACACCTTTACGACCACCGGCCATCGCCAAATGGGTTACAATTAGACCTCGCTCGAATTAATACCTTTACGGCCACCGGCCATCGCCAAACGGGTTACAATTCGACCTCACTTGAATTAACACTTTTACGACCACTGACCATCACCAAACAGGTTACAATTCGACCTCGCTCGAATTAATACCTTTACGGCCACCGGCCATCGCCAAACGGGTTACAATTCGACCTCACTTGAATTAACACTTTTACGACCACTGACCATCACCAAACAGGTTACAATTCGACCTCGCTCGAATTAATACCTTTACGGCCACTGGCCATCGCCAAACGGGTTACAATTCGACCTCGCTTGAATTAACACCTTTACGGCCACCGGCCATCGCCAAACGGGTTACAATTAGACCTCGCTCGAATTAACACCTTTACGGCCACCGTCTATTGCCAAACAGGTTACAATTAGACCTAGCTCAAATTAACACCTTACAGCCACCGATCATCGCCAAACGACTTACAATTTGACCTCGCGCGAATTAACATCTTTACGGACACCGGCAATTGTAAAATGGTTTACAACTCGACCTCACTCGAATTAACATCTTTACGCCCACCCGCCATCATCAAATGTGTTACAATTCGACCTCGCTCGAGTTAACACCTTACGGTCATCGACCACCATCAAATAAAAGAAAATTTCAACCTCGCTCGAATTTACAACGGATTACAACTTTGATCTCTCAAATTCATATCTTCACGGTCGTCGGCCATCGCCAAGTAAAAGTAAAACCTCGCCCACCTGAACCGACAGATTGAAGTTCGGTCTTGTTCGAATATATGTCAAAAATTGACTTCGCCCAAGATGGCGACTCCAAGTTCGACCTCGTTCGAATATATAAGTCAGAAACTTTTGCCCAAGATGGCAACTCAAAGTTCGACCTCGCTCAAATACATATGGAAAAATTGATTTCAGCTAAATTGGTAAGTCTAAATTCAATCCCACTCGAACATACAAGTCGAAACTGACTTCGCCCAAGATGGCGAGTCTGAATTCGACCTCGTTTGAATTAAGGTTGATTCCACCTAAGTTGGAAAATCATAAGTCAACCTCGCGTGAACTTGCATATCCAAAGTGACCTCATTCGGACTCACACGATGAGATCCTACTCGATCCGGGTAAGGTCAGTTCTCAATTAAAAAAATCAGGGACTCATGATAAAGAAATCCGAAGGTCTATTCCCCAAAAAAATATATAATAACAAACGGGAGGGAAAGAGAAAGAAAATCAAAAGATACACAAACGAAAGTGAAACAACTATTTCATTCAAATACGTGCGCAACAATCGCACCTTACAAAAGGCCAAAATAGGTCCTCAAGGAAAAAATGAAAATAAACAACAAAAGAACAAAGAAAAAAAACTAAGTACATAGGTTGCAGCAAAGTTTCACTCGGCATCACCTCCACTGCCATTCTCCCCAACATCATTATCATCAGAAGGGAGCCCATCCTCGACATCAACGCCCTCACCAGCCTCTGGCATCGTAGGGTCATAACCGCAGGCAGTACGAGCTCATGTGTCTTCGCCCGAGCATCTTCAAAGGCGGCCTCTGGAACATTCCCCTCCTCCCACAAACCCTTGTAAATATCACATTGGGCCTCAGCATGGACCCATAGCTCATATAGGCCGGGGGGAACAGTAGCTGAAGCACACTCTTGAGGGGGAGCCTGAGCCAATAACTGCGCCTTCTCTGCTTCAGAGCCACAACTCAGTCTCCCAAGATCGAAGCGTCCCGATCAAGTTCACCAATTTGCTCATCGAGCCGTGCTTCCCTCAGCGTGGTCGTCGCTCTCTCAGACTCTTGCTCGGACTTGAGGACGCGGATAGTATCCTCTAATGCCGCTGCCCTCGCCAAAGCTGACACGCGAGCATTCTCGGCGCTCTCCATCTCGGCCACTTTCTTTTCTAGCTCGGCCACCTTCTCCATCCATTCTGCACTTAGAGTGTCGACCTTAGTAGCATTTTGCTCAAGCTCAGCTCGTAAAGATAGCACCTTCGCCTGAAGGTCCTCGCACTCCGCGGTAACCCTTTTTCCTACCTCAAGCTCTTCATCCTTGGCATGAAGCATCTCTTCTAGCTCACTGCATTTGCGAATAGACCGCATTAGTTCCTCATCTCTTTTCTCCAACTCATCCCTGGTAGACTGGGTACTGGCGCCCACTCTTAGCTGCTCGTGCATATCACGGCATCTGTTGCGATACCGTCGATACTTCTCAGCCATCTTCAGAAAAATCTCGGTCCGCGTCTCGCTCTACGAGCACTCTCGACCTCCAGCATGTAAGTCTAACAAAAAAAAAGAAAAAAAAAGGAAGAAGAGAGGGAAGAATTAAGTCAGTAAAGACAAAGGTCACAAAGAAAAGGAAACAAAAAGGAACTCACTCTTAGGCCCATCGCGGCCACACTGCGTGACAACTCGGAGTCGAGCTCCGATTCAGCGGCAGAGCATAAAAGATCGAACTGCGGTACGAAGTCCACCGTGTCTTACCGCAGGTTGAGATCAGACGGAATTTCGAGTATTCGGAAAGGGCCTCCCGCTCTTACTACAGTTCGGGTAAAGCCCTCCTCGAATGTCCTCATTTCCTCAGGTTCAATGTCGGACTCGGATTCATAATCCTCAACCATGACGCCCTTCCCCCTCTCATTGGTCGAAAAGGGGGCGCGGTTCTGCTGAGATGTTGAAGGGCCACCCGAAATAGCAACAGCAGCCTCAGAACTCCATCTCTCCGCCACATTAGCCCCTTGAACGCTTGCAATGGGCATCGTCTCCATGGCTGGGTTGGCACCACCGCCAACTTCGGGCACCGCCGGGGGAAGGTCGCCCCACGAAGATGTTTTGGCTCGAGAAACCTCTTCCAATACTACCCCTCGTCTCTTCGACGGGGCCTCTCCACTACTAGCGCGGGAAGATTCACTCATTGAACGGACTATGGGAATCGGAATCTCCGGCTGAGTAACCTCCAAGCACACAGCTTCGGCCGTAGGCGTAGGTCGGACAGTAGCTTTTGGTGCAAGCCGGGCAACAGCCCTCGGTGCAGGACAGGCAGAGGGTACCGATTG